CATCGTGAGGCACCAGTGAAATCTACATAGAAAGTGTTTAGAGCACAGTATACAGTCAGTGCACAATAAATGTCGGTTATTTTCATGATCAATAACCACCAGATCGAATCAAGACACCTGCCCTCGCAGCCCCCTTGCTGCCCTGGAGGAGGGCTGGCTTGGCGTACATACCCGTCCCTGGCGCTCTCAGCCGTGGACAGAGGGGAGAGATGGTGCTGGGAGCCGGCGGTGGCATCCAGTGGGTGGTGCCTGGAAGGCACGTCATGCGTGGGGGGCAGGGTGCCTGATGCAAGCCCGTGGTGGGGGGTGATGGAGCCCAGATACACACCTGCAGGAAACCAAACACATGTCACGGGCTTGGGCCCCTCCCTGGAGATTGCTGTGGAGGGGTGGCCCAGGAGCCATGCATGCTGACCCTGGAGAAAGACAAGAAGGAAGTGAGTAGGGTTGGATTTGTAGAAGTTTAGGGGCCCCAATGAGGGAAGGGATGGCCCCATTCTGCTCGGACCAGGCCCCGGCGGACACGCTGTGTCCAGGGCTGGGCCCACGCCAGTAGCTGAGGTGGACTGGCAAGGGACCATTGGAGGCACGGGGTGGTCAGGCCCTGTGTGCACTGGGGCAGTGGTGTGTATGGAGCAGGCCACCCCGGTCTCTGTGGGGCTATTCTAGAAAAGAAGGGTTCTGTAGACAGGGACCCTGGGGTGGAGAGAAGCTTGAGACGGGCAGGCAGCAGCTCAGGGCTTGGCAGTGCCTACTACCAGGCAGCAATGGGCTGCCCTTGGATAGAGCAGCCATCCATCCCAGAGGTGTGCAAGCATGGCCACTGCGAAGGGTTCCAAAGAGATGGGAGCACTAGTGGGTGGCAGGCTGGCCTGAGAGACCTCTGAGAAGGGTTGCCAGGGACAGCTGTAGAGGCTGTACACTGCACAAGGGTCCTGAATGAGGAGCAGAGTCAGCTGTGATCTAGCCTCAGAGTCTAAACATTCAGAAGACACATGCACCTTTTACCTTCAAAGATCTAACCCGTTAAGACAGGTGGGCTAACAAATCAATGGTGGCCACTAGGTCAGAGTCAGATGCTGCTTTAGGGACCTAATGGAGTGTGTGGGCGTTACTGAGGCCAGCGCGCCCAAACGCCTTCGCCAAGGAACCCTAATCACAAGGGAGAGTGAACCTCTACTCTGGGACTCGAGCCTGCGAGGGACAGAACAAGGGTTGTACGTTGCTGATGTTCCCTGCTACAGCTGAAAAAACGGGACCAACTTCGCACTGTGTCTTCAACCAGGCCACGTTTATTTTAATTTTAATAGAAACTGACATCATTTTCCCTAAAGTCAACACATCAAGCTGATGCCCCGGGAGGACTCTCTGGCCCTGGGGGCAGTGTCCACTCTGGTCAGTGCCCACCATGGGCCACTGTTACATGCTGACTTTCATCACTCTGGTCGTCCTGAATCCCAATCCAATGCTCTTTATCAGCCCATAAGGATGCCAGGCTCCCTTCATGGGTGGGGTGAGAGGAGATTTCACCTTCTCAGTTGGTTGGGGTTCCAAGGCTAGCTCATCCCAGGCTGGCCCCACTAGCTCAGGCCTGCAATGCAGGAGGCTGCTACGAGGCACTGAGCAGGGCTGAGGCTGCTACAAGGCACTGAGCAGGGCTGTGGCAGGGAGGCAAGCTTAGGCAGCATGGCAGGGGGCAAAATCAGTGAAACAGTAGGAGTTCACAATAGGGAGTGGTGGAGACTGTGGCAAAATGGAAGGGACATGCCCCATAAAGGCCATTACATGGAATCTGTTAAACAAAAACCACCACCCAAAGAACCCCACTATGCCAATGAGACCCCCCTGGCCTCGAGTTAGAGCACCTCTATGTTACATCAGGTGAAATTCAACTCTTAAGACAATTCCTGTTAATTAAGAATTGTATGTGCCAGGCTTTTTCCATACTCTCTAGTTTACTGCCTCAACAACTGTCAATGGGTATGATCACACTGAAAATGAAGGAACTATATCTAAAGGAGTAAACGACTTGCCCAGAGCCCCTGAGTCAGGGCCGCCAGTCAAGCCTCTCTCCCAAGCGGCAGGGCGAGAAAGTCCGTTTGAGGCCAGGGCCAGGGATGGCTCCAGCTCAGGGTATGGTCGGGATATCTGGCTGGGGGCTCCGCCCCGGCCTGGGCACCACTGCTGGCTGTGAGACCCCGGGGGCTCTGGGCGGGCCCTCGGACTCCCTCTGGCTCTGGGCCCCAGCCCTGCCATCTCCCTACCTCTGGGACCTCTGCGCCCATGGAGAACACTACCTGTCCGTGCAGCCACCACCTCCCTCCTGGCCTTGGGGAAGGCAGCCGAAGGGGCTTTCTGAGGAGGGGGCCAGGGTCGGCCGCTCAGGGTCTGAGCCGCTCACCACTCTCCGAAGCACCTCCTCACCGGCAATCTTGAACCAATTTGGGGTCTGACAGCTGGGAAGGCCTGGAGTCCTGGGAAGTCCCGCGCCCTCTCCCTCAGCCATGCTGATCTCACGCTTCTCACGTCCTCGCTGCCCCTCACGTTCCCTGGGCTGCTAGGGACGAGCCGACCTGAGGAGTTCCCAAGCTTCCCTACAAAGGAGAGAGCTGGGCCTTCCTGAGAGCTGGCTCGAGGGAGCATCCTGCCCTCACACAAGGAATCCCTTGTCTCCCTCTGCAGCTCTGCCCACGCCCTCCCCCGCCACTCGGGACTCTTCTAACCCTCCCTGAATCTGTCCCTGACTCTCCCCCACCTTTGCCCTGGCCCTGGGCCCAGCTTCCTACCTGTACAGCCCCCCACCCCTTGCAGACGGACACGTGGTGGGTGACCGAGGATATGAACTAGAGATGCTGGCCACGTGGACAGGCAGTGGACGGGAACACAGGAACCGCCGGATCGCGAGGGCAGTGGGATGGGGGCGCCACGGGCCCTGTTGGGTCCTCCCCAAAATGCTTCGGGCTGAGAAGCTGTGTCATCAATCATCAGCCGTGAGCGCTTAACCTCCGGCCCTAACATCTGTTCCCAACCGCATCTCAGGCATCTGCCGTGGGGCCTGCAGAAGAAGCCGCCAGCCCAAGTCCCCAGGGGATCCAGGACGCTCCCTTTGCCTGGCTGTCTCCCCACTCCCCCAAACCCTGCCCTGGAAGCCCCTGGAGGACAGGGCCCAGCATGGGGCCTGGCGCACGGCAGGTGCTGGGTATGGCAGAGGAATCATGTTAGTTAGCAGCAGGGAGGCGGTAGGCTCTGGTTCAGAGCACAGCCTGCAGCACCTCACGGGGCAGATGTGGGGACACAGTAGTTGACGTGCACGGGCACCATCTCCGGGGAGGTCCTGGCACTCGGGCGATGCGTGCCGAGTGCTGATGACCCTAAGGCAGGCGAGGAAGCAGCTGCTCTTCTCGTTGACCATGGACAACAACAACAACAGTAATGATGGTAAAGCTATCAGTCACATGGGTTTATAAAAACGAGCATATCCACAATCGCATCTGTTTTTGTAGCAGGCCTGGGAGGGAAACTGAGGCTCAAAGCAGGGAGGACACCAACTGCCGTCACAGTTCCAGCAGGTGTGGGCCCCTCCCATCTGCCATGCTTCAGTGGATTCTGTCTCTCACCTGCAGCAGGGGTCTAACACCCCACCACAAGGGTGGTCGGGGATGGAACGAGACGATGTTTGTGAAGAGACTGGCCCAAGCAGGCACTCAGAAGATGTTCCTGCTGGCCCCGCCCCTTCTCCCCAGGACCACCCCTAGGCTGGCATCAGGGAGGGCTGGCTTCTAACACAGATCTGCGGAGACTTCTGCGGATGACCTTGGGTGAGTCTTTCTCCTGCCCAGGCCTGAGTCCTCCCAAGGGAAAAATGATGGGATAGAGGACCCTGGCCCTGTGGGCTGCATTGCGAACCCGTGGCAGCCCTCTTTCCTGCTGAGTCAGGAAGCAGCTTCGGAATCCTTCTAGAACACAGAGCGCCAAGCCGTCATGGCCAGTCGCTGGGAGCTGGCATTGAGGCGTCCTCATCCCTGGGCTGGCTCAGCCCTGCGCCCCATCCGGCCCTGCCATTCCAGCAGGCCACACGCTGGGTCCTCTAGCTGACGGGGAGGGCACGGGCCCCCCCATGGCACTCACCCTCCTTCGTCCTTGCCCTTGTGCCCCTGAGCACAGACCCCTGGGAAGGGAGACCCATGAGAAAGGGTAAAACCTTCTCTTCCTGAGGCTGTTCGGTGAGGACTTTGAGATATTTTTAAATCTGCTGCAACTTCAACATTGAGGGGGAAGAGTAAAAACATTAGAAAATAAAAACTGTTTAAGAAGGTGGAGTAATTCAAGAACTCCCAGGGGCGGGCAGAGCTTTCTGCTCTGACGCTGCGGTTGCTTTGGGGGTAGGCTAGAACACGAGCACAGTCAGCTGGAATCCAAAGACCATGCTGCCCTTATCTGGGCTGAACTCCCAAGCCACAAAACCAGGCATTCCTGCCGTGGCCCCAGACTGGCCCTGTGGCCCGTGGCCGCTGGGAGGCATGGACGGGCCACCTCGGCTAGACAGAGGCTTTGGGTGCCTGGCTAGAGGGGCCTGCGGGGTTCCGGCCACAGGGTTTCGCGGCGAGTTGGAAGCGGTGTGGGCCAAGGTGCCCACCTCTCAGAGCCTTGGTGTCCCCCTCTGGGGCAGGAGTCATGGTGGGGGTATGGGGCTCCAGGTCGAGCCCAGGGGCAGAATGGGCTCTTTGGAAAGCCGTTTCTCCCTGTGGAGGATCCTGGCAGCACGGCCACCAGGAAGGGCCTGGATCGCCCCAAGGCACCTCCACCTCTCTTCGCAACAGTTGTGTAGGCACACGTTGCCCTGGCCGGCTCTGCCTGTGTCCCCATGCCGGGTGCCGGTGACCCTGGGATGAGGCAGACCCTGTCCCTTACCTCGAGGAGCTCACAGTCCAGTGGGGGAGGCACATTGGAAACAGAGTGACAGCCCAGAGTGCTTGGCACTGGGGCAAAGGGAAGCCCAGAGGAAGACTTCCTGGAGGAGGGGGTTTAGGAGATGGGTCCGGAAGGTAGGGCAGGAGCTAGCTTAGTGAAGGGAGAGGAAGAGGAGGCCGGCAGGGTGCGGACAGGGTCCCGGGGGTGAAAAGGAACAAAGCAAAGCGTGTTCAGGGAACGGCATCCAACATGCCAAGAGAGACCGCCAGGAGGCCCAGGCCCTGCGAGGCCTTGGAGGCCAGGCTGAGAGGAGTGTGGGCCTCATCCCATGGGCAGGGGGGCCCAGGAGAATGGGAAGGGGCATCCCCTAGTTAATGAGGTGCAGAGACAGGAGGGGTGGAATGCAGGGAGCCAGAGACAGGCAACCGGGTCCAGATGATCAGGTGCCCCGTGACACACATGCCCGTGTTCTGAGCATCCCTGTTGTCCTTCAGGGACTGCTGGTGGGGAAAGGGCCCTTCCAGGCTGTTCCCTGGCCCTGCCTCCCATGCACATACCTGGGAGCAGCTCTTGACCCAGGGCACGGCTGCTCTTTCCGTCAGTGAGTTGTGTGGACATATGGAGCTGAGGCAGGGCCAGGCACTCAGTCAGGACGTCGGCCTCGGGGTCCGGGCCCGTGTGCAGCTGGGGAGCAAGCAGAGGGAGGGGGTATTAGGTGAGGCCACCTGCCCACCAGCCATCCTCACATCAGGGGACAGGGCGGGACACACAGTAGCCCCAAGGCAAGACCCTTCTCTTCACCAAGCCTCTGTTTTCTCATCTATAAAATGGGCTAATTGTGTACTTTGTAAAGACTGAGTTCGTCCGGGTCCTTGGAGAAGCAGACGCCAAGATGAGATTCAACATGCAAGGATTTTAATAGGGGATGTGCCTGTGTGACAGGTAACGGGACAGCTGGGGAGCCCTCGGCCCAGGGAAAGAGGGAGGCGAGGCTCGCTGCAAGCTTCCTGGAGTGCGATGCAGGGAGTCAGGGAGGCCTCAGGGAGCCACAGTCTGCTGGAAGTCATGGGGGTGTCCAAGAAGGGGCTGCCTCGGAATTCCTGCTGGGCCTGCCTGACTCAGTCACTGCAGGAGCTGCCCACAGGAGGCGTGGCCTCGGCACAGACACCCAGATGGGTGACAGAGTGCAACGATGGGGCCACCCATAGTGGCTGAAGGTCTGCGAGGCACGTGCCGTGGCAGCCATGGCAGTGACACGGCAGGAGGACAGCACGGTAGGTATGCGGTGAGTGCCCACCCCCTCCCCCCAGACCCATCTTTTTCCTTCTGGGTATACGGTTCCATGCACACAGCTCAGGGCTAGGGATGAAGAGCTGGGTTCAGTCCCATTCCACCCCTCTTGCTCCCTGTGTGATGCTGGACAAGTCACTCAACCTCTCTGGGTCTTGCTCACCCTGCCTTCATAAGCAGCAATAGTCACCCTCGCCCCAGACTGCCGAGAGGAGAAATGACACAGTGGATGGGGACATGCTCTGTGAGGGCCGTGTGCAGGGCTGGCCAAACCCCAGCTGTCAGCCCACCTGGGCACCGTGGATCGCTGTGTGCACTGGAGTCGTCTGGCTGGAGCAAGTCTGGGCTGGGGTGTGCCCAGAGCCCAAGCAAGTCTTTGACCAGCAACCCTTGGCTGTTCCCAAAGACAGTTACCTGCGAATGTCTTCCCCTCTCCAGACAGTGAGGGCAAGGCAGGACCCTCAGGACACGGGGTGATGAGGGGAACAGGCACCTGGATGGGAAGGGCCCCTTCTCCCAGGGAAATCCCAGAACTTGGCTTGTCCAAATGCTCATCTGACCAGGGACAAAACAGACCCAGAGAAGGTGAGAGTCCTGTGCCCCATCACACAGCAGTTGAGTCAACCTGGAGGGCCTTTCCACCCTGCCAGGCTGAAGGGCCAGGACCCAGGCTTGGGGGAGGCATGCCCAGCCTCAGTTGGGTTCTCGGCTCCCTGACCCAGCAGCTGTTTTCCATGTAAATTGAGTTTCTGGCAGAAGAGGGCCAAGGCATGTTCTTGCAGACCGCAATGTCGATTGGATTAGGAACAACAGGAGAGGAGAATCAGGGAAGAAAAGCATTTCTAATTCTCTCTGAAACGCAGCAGGGCTGCCAAGGACTTGTCATAATAGAAGGGTCGCTTTACCCAGAAAGATACATCATCCCCGATGGCTCTTAATGGATGCTTATTGTTGGGAAGTTTGCAGATCTGCGGCCCCAGGTCCCTGGGGCTCAGTGCATGCCAAGCATGGGCCTGGGAACAGGGCAGGATTCCAGTCCCTGGACAGCGGTCCGCGTGGGGCAGAAGCCTCTCTGGTGGGGGGCCCCAGCCTACCGAAGCCCGGGCCGTTCCCTGTCCTTGCTCAGGGCCCTCGAACTGAGAGCTGTGGAAAAAGCTCAAGCTCTGAGACAGACGAGCCAGGGATGGGACACTGGCTCTGCCACTCCTGGGGTGCGTGACTCTTGGCTGGTTTGTTACCTCTCTGAACCTTAGTTTCCACATCTCTAAAACGGGAATAAAAATAGTACCCATGCCTAGGGTTCTGTATTTGAGACAGGATCTTGCTATGTTGCCCAGGCTGGTCACAAACTCTTCAAGCAATCCTCCCACTTTGGTCTCTAAGGTTATGTGAGAACTCAATGAGATACAGGATGTGAAGTGCCAGGCAGAGTACCTGAGTCGTGGACGCGCCTGGGTTAAAGCCCACCCTTCTCAGAGTACAGGGTTTTCAGCAGCGAGCTCATTGTTAGGCTCGGACCACATCCCTCCTCTGTCCACAGCTTCCATCGGCTCCCCATCGCTTACAGGGTAGAGACCAAAGTCCCAAGCCAGGCTGTCCCCCCCATCATTTTCCCACCGAGGCCTGCTTGCTCCCGGCGCCCCACAACTGTTTGCTCCCATCACAGGGCACTGAAGCGGCCTGCGCCCTCCAGCCTGCAGACCATGGGTCCGTTTCATTCAGGCTGTGTCCACAGTTCACAGAACAGTGCTTGGCACACGGCGTGCTCTGTAAATCTTGCTGGGCCTGCCTTCTGCCCTCCTCTGTCATGCCGGTGTCCCTGAGTTGACCACTCGTGTTTCTTTCACCCCCACACTCCCCCTGGCACTCAAGGACCCCACTCCCATGGCCCCAGTTAAGCCAGCCAGCCAGGCTCTGCCCTGGGCAGCCCTGTCCCTCTCCTGCAGCCTGGCCCCTCGGTGTGTCCCAGCGGAGCCTACAGCCCCCACCCGTGCCCCCTCCTGCTCTGCTCCGAGCCGGCCCCACCATCTCCCTTGCTCCCCAGCGAGGCCTCCCTGCCCCGATTTCCCTCCAACCACCCCAACCCATTCTCTGCATGTTCCCCAGAGTCACCCCTCAAGGTGACCTGTCTCTTTTCCGTGTATGACCCCTCAGGGCACCCACTGTCTCCTGGACTTAGCCCTGCCCATGCCACCTCTCCTCCTCACTGCGCTGCTCAGACCAGAGACAGATGAGTGCCTGCTGTCCTGGTGGGCTCCAGGCTTCAGTCCTCACTTGACGCCGGTCACTCTCCGGGGTGCAACCACTTGCCTGAACTCACCTACCCAACGCTTCCTTCTTCCTCAAGACTACTGAAGCCACACACCCCACACACCAACTTCTGTTCCGAGTTTTCAGCTGGCACCAGTTGCAGTTCTAGACCTCAGTATAAACTTGCTCATCTGTGCCTCCTGTGTCTGTCCACAGCCAGTTCCTGTCACCCTCTGACAGCCCAGGAACAGAAAGCACACAGGCGCCGCCCAGGGTGCAGAGCTCGTCGTGGGGTACCCAGTAGCTGGCCCTGGGCCTCATGTCTTCCTTGGGGCCCCTGGTTCCACCCAGATGGGCTAAGGCCCCCTCATCTGCACCCCTGTGGGTTCTCTGTGCACCTCTATGGTCACCCCTCTCAGTGTTAATGGCCACCCTCTCACCATGAACAACAGGGAGTGTGCTTTCCATGTTTGCCATCCCCGTGCCCACACAAGTCGTGGCGGTGGGCAGATAGTGGGATGAAGAGCTAGAGGGGGGGTCTATAGGTGGGTAACAGCTGGCTGGGGGAGGAGGAAGGGCTGGGGCCAGCAGATACACTCAGGGGCCGGGTGGGAGGTGGATGGATGGATGGATGAGTGCAGTGGCATTTCCGGGTGGACACACGCAGGGAGCATGGGCGCTAGCCTGACTACGTGGTGGCTGGCAGCCGTGGCGTGTGTAGGGAGGGGCTGGGTGAGGGGGGCCGTCTTACCTTCCTACGCACCTGCTGCTCTTTGGCTGAATGGGCCTTGACGTGCTTGCGGAGGGAGCTGGGGTCCGTGTAGCGCTTGGAGCAGCCGGGGATCTGACAGGCATACGGCTTCTGGAACATTGGGGGCACAGGTGGGGTGAGCGGGGGCCCGTCCCTCAGGGCCAGGGTCCCTCCGTGTGACCTGCCGTGGGGAGGATGACTGGGCGAGGGGCTGGCTGCGGGCCAGGAGGGGTCTGACATGGCCAGCCCTGCCCAGGTGTGGGGAAGGTGCCCGGCCTGGGGTGGGGGAGGAGGTTCGTATCTCCATTTGGTGACCCGCAAGGCTGGGAGTCTGGCTTTTCTGCTCCGCAATTTGAGGCCAACTGAATTCTAGCTTGGACCCTGGCTCTGAGAAAAACCCTGTCTGTGTCCTACAGCTGCAAAGAAGCAGCCAGCAAGCAAGGAGCGCAGTGAGGTGACTACTTGGAAAGCAGGAGGGGGAGAGGGGCGAGGGGTGGAGCACATGGCGGGACGCACGTGTGGGCCAGGCAGGGCAATGGACCACGCTGTGCCGGCAGGACCAGAGTCCCCAGACTGCTCCCAGGGTCCCGAGCAGTCCAGGCCCTCCTCTCAACAACCACGGAGGCCACAGGGGAACTGGACCTCCGAGAACACCGGGCTGGGGAGGCTGGGGGCGACACCACTGTGTGGGCAGTGGACGAGTCCCTTTCCCTCAAGCCCCCACCGGGCACCCAGAACGTGAAAGGTGGACACCAAGTCCACCCCACCGCCTCTCATGGACTCCCGCCAGGCTCCGCCTGACCCCCGGGCCCCAGTCTCCCCCTCATGCTCGCAGCCACGGGACCTTCCTCACAGCTCTGCTCTTGACCTCTGAAGCCTGGGATGGCTCCCTGGTGCTATCAGAATAGAGGCCATCTCTGGGCACCGAAAGCCCTTTGAGAACTGGCCTCTGCTGCAGTCCCAGCCTCCTCCCGTCCCACCCCCAGGACACTCCTCGCCTCTCCCACCAGCCCACTTCGCTTCCTCTCCAAGATTCCTCCACCTTTGGTTCCCTCCCCAGGCCTGAGCACCCCACCTGCAGTGCTGCCCACCCTGTGCGGTGGGGTTTGTTTGGGCCGCTCTTCCCTCTTCCCTACTAGAGAGGGATCCATCCATTCCAGGTCTCAGCGTGACCTCAGGCAGGAGGCCCGTGGCTTTAACCAAATTCTGCTCTCTCCCCAGGGACTTCCTGAAGACCCTGCTCGGGGACTCCGGCTGCTGCTGGGGCTTGATGTCCCTAAAGCTTCCCATTTTGAACACACGTAGTAGTCCTGATCTCCCAGGACCCTCTGCCCTCCTGGGACTGCAGGGCACCGGAGAATGTTTGGAGGAGATGACGCTTCTCAGTGTGAGTGCAGGGATTGCTGTGTCCTGCCTGCTTGGACCCGCCCGCCCCAAGACCTCAAGGCAACTCTGCCCATGCCGGGCTGAGGAGAGGCCGGGCCGACCTTGGAAACAGACAGAAGTACGGATGGCCCAGGGACTTCTGGGGAGGGGAAGCAGAAAGATGACTGTACCTTGGTGCTGCCACGGAGGGTTGCCAGGTTAAAGAAACGGAGAGCAAAAAGAGAGAGACAGAGCAGTGAGAGGCTTGCTGGGCTGAAAGGAAGGCACGAGCAGAAGGGTGAAGGCCTGCCTCAGACT